TGGGGTTTTTGATTGAAATTCTTTTTTTTTTTTTTTTTTTTTTTTTTTTCAGTTCAATAAAATGTCATTAATTAAAAAAAGAAAGAACCTTTTGAGTCATGAAATGAAAGGGATTTCAACAACTCATTTTATGACTTACATACATACATACATACATACATACATACATACATATATATAAATATATATATATATATATATATTTATTTATTTATTTATTTATTTATTTATGTATTATTATTATTAATTTTTAATAATCGAGCTAACTAGGTTGCCCTCATGGGTTATAGTATCTACCCTTACACTCCCCTTTCCCTCCCCCAATACAACCAACAAATTAGTGAAATGTGTAAATTGAAAAATGTAAAGCAGAACAAAAGAATAATATGATAATGAGGTCTGTTGATGCTTAACATCCGTCTATGTGATAGTTTAGGAGGTTGAATAGTATTACTCAAACAAACAGATAATGTCATGTAGCACAAGTGGTGTTTATAGTGCGGTGCCACATTCTTTTAAGTTCATTGAATAATGTGGCATTAGACCTTAGTGCTACATAAATTGGTGCTAAAACCACTTGTGCTGAATTGCAGTGCTCAAACAAAAATAATAAGCTCTCAAATATTTAGTACTTGTTTGGAAAATCTTAAAACATTACTAAAAAATTGAAGTTAAAAAAAATAATAATATATATATATATAAAATTTACAACTTATTACATTCGATCCACAATTAATAATCAGATTTTTACCATGTAATTTGTGGTACCCATCATTCTTTCTTTTCTTTTTCCTTTTAATTAAAAATTTTGCTCTTTAGCTCTTTCAAACAAGCACTTAATGCTCAAGTCAAACTACGTTTTTCTTGAAGTGGGAGAAGGAAACTCACAAAGCAAAGGTGGAAGAAGTAGTTGTAAAATAAGTTCAAGCCGAAAGGTAACGAGCAAAAAGAAATGGTATGTTCTTTACGGTGGAATTATTGTAAAATAATCATATTTATCATAAACATTTGCTATCGTTCATTTCCAAATATTTGAATTTCTGCTTGAATATCGTAAAACTAGTACATAATTAAAGAAAAAAAAGATATAGCCCTTGTTCGAGCCCCATTCTTTTAAAAAAAAAAGTACATTCTTAAACAGTGTTTTAACATCATTTTAACCACACGTTCTTTAATAAAATAATATTACAAGCAAATTCAAAATTTTTCCTTATTTTTCAATCATACAATTTTCATCAATATACTATTCAAAAATTCATTCCCCCTCCTCCCCCTCTCCCCTCCCAAAATGGGGTTCAAACAAGGGCATAGATTATTAGTGATATGCTTGCGATTACTCTAGTAATTTGTTTTTGAAATATAAAATATAATTCACAAGTACTGGTAATAATAAGAGCCTGTTTGAGAGTGATTTTGAGAATTGATTTTTTGACCGTTAGGAAAAAAATGGGGTCTACCTGTAAGAGAAAAAGTCAAATACAACGGCTGAAATAGTGAAATAACGATTAAAAAATTATTTTTTTGGGCCAAAAAATCACTCCTAAACAAGCTGTAAATAGATCATTATAGCTATATCGTATTTTACGTAGTTAAATTATTATTATTATTATTATTATTATTATTATTATTATTATTATTATTCATTCTTTATCTTAAAAGAGAGAATGTAAGGTTTACTGTTCATTTTTGTCACATAGGTTTTCACACGAAATTGGTTTGAAACCGGTTTGACAAAAGTAAATTATTTTATTCAATGACGACATTTCACCATTTTCACACGCCGTTTCACTGTGATGTAACATCCACCACAATATTTCTTCATTTTCACAGATTACTTCACTTGATTAAAGGCAATACCATATATTATATAATAAAGAAACGAAATTAAATATAAAGATTATTTAAAAAAAATTGAAGATAAAATTCGAAAAAAAATATTATAAAGTTTTTAAATTAAATTAAAATGATTTAAAGAAAAAATAAATATTATTTAATTCAAATTTAACGAATGTCTTTATATCATAAGGAATGTATAAAGATTATTTTATTAAACCAAATTAAACAAATAATATAAAATAAAGTTACAAAAATTAAATAAATAATACATAAATATTATTTAGTTAATTAAAATTGAAAAAATTAAATTTAACAAAAAAAAAAAATCTCTTTGTGGACGGAGAGAATCTCGGCTTTCAAAAGGAGAGTTTTCTCCTTTTGACTTTTCGCAAAGAGTGATAACACTCCGTGCATGGACTGGTTCTACTCCGTGCACGGAGTGGTGATAACTTTTAAGTAATTTTTTACATTTTAGAAATCAAAAAAAAACTTTTATGTAAAAATTTATTTAAAAAAATATTATTACTAATAAAATATGGTCGATAGTTGATAGCCTGGGAAAATAGAGAAAGAGTATTGTGTATCAGATTCAAAACATGTAAGCTGCAGGTAAAATATAAAACGACGTCGTTTCTACTCCACCAATTAAAAAAAAAAAAGCTGCAGTGTGACAAAATATTATTTAAAAAATATTACTACTAATAAATTTATAGGATATGGTTGATAGTTGATAACGTGAGAAAAGAAGTGGAGAAAGAATATTGTGTGTCATATTCAAAGTTGGACGGTTCATTTTTGTCATATGCTTTTTCACATTCACTGGTTTGAAATGGGTTTGGTCAAAGTGGGTTTTTTTTTTGTAATATCATATTATCCATCCTTATCTTGCTTTTTATTTTTGTTACATTGGTTTTCACATTAAACAGGTTTGAAACTAATTTGGTCTTTTAAATTTGACACACAATACTATTTTTTCATTTTTTTCACGCTGTCAACTATCAACATATTCTACAATTTTATTAGTAGTAATATTTTTTAAAATAATATTTTGTCACACTGTAGCTTTTTCTTTTTAATTGGTGAAGTAGAAACGACGTCGTTTTCTATTTTACCTGCAACTTACATGTTTTGAATTTGACAGACAGTGCTCTTTCTTCGTTTTCTCACTCTATCAACGATCGTCCATATCCTATAATTTTATTAGTAGTAATATTTTTAAATAATTTTTTACATAATAGTTATTATTTATTTCTAAAATGTAAAAAGTTACTTATAACTAAAAAGACCACTTCAAGTTATTTAAAAGTAAAACGAACTCATTATTGTAAAAACTACTTATAAGTAAAAACATATTAAATTAAATTTTTTAAGTATAAATATTTAGATATATTTAGTTTTTTAAATTAAATATTAATAAAAAGATTGAACTATCTAAAATGTAAAAAATTACTTATAAGTAAAAAAACACTTCAAGTTATTTAAAAGTAATAAAAAACTTATAATTTTAAAAGTTACTTATAGGTTAAAAAAATATTAATCCCTCATTCTCTTATAATTGTAAAAGCTACTTTTAAGTAAAAAAATATTAATTTAAATTTTTTGAAGTATAAATATTAAGATATATTTACTTTTTTAAATTAAATATTAATAAAAAGATTAGGTGATGTAAAAAGTTACTTATAAGTAAAAAAATCACTTCAAGTTATCTAAAAGTAATAAAAAACTTATAGTTGTAAAAGCTATTTAGATTAAAAAAAAAATTAACTTCAACATTTTTAAGTAAATATTAATAAAAATTTATTATAATTAAAAAAAATTAAATAAATAACATATACTTCGTGCACGGAGTGCTAAAGCGTGCATGGAGTGCTTGGAGTGAAACACCCCCCCCAACCCGGTCATATATGATTTTTTTTATATATATTTATAGTAAATTTTTTTTAATATTTAATTTTAAAAAATTAAATATATCTAAATATTTACTTTGAAATATTAAAGTTAATATATATATATATATATATATAAGTAGCTTTAATATTTAATTTTTTTAATATTTAATTTTATCTATAAGTAGCTTTTACAATTATAAGTTTTTTATTACTTTTAAATAATTTGAAGTAATTTCTTTTACTTATAAGTAACTTTTTATATTCTAGATAGTGTAATCTTTTTATTAATATTTAATTTAAAAAACTAAATATATCTAAATATTTATACTTAAAAAACTTTAAGTTAATA